AACCAGATAGCTCAATGTGACTTTGCTATAAAATAAACAAACTAACAAAACTTTCTCTTTCCTTGTATATTTATTCCACAGAAATGCTACGGTTATAATTATTACCGCAAACAAGAAACAAACTCTCCTCTACTGAGCTATTCTTCATATAGAAGTTAAACTTTAACTATCTGGCTAAGCAAGACATAAATTACACACCAGTCATGCACAATTAATATTATATAGAACAAGAAATGCCATCGGTCATTTCCTACTAGTTTTTGTTAGAATGACGTTCCAGAAAGAACCAATGATGTGAATGTTACACGCGCCACCTTTTTACAGCTTATTTAAAGGGGTGAAAAGTCTATTAAAATCGGCGTGGGTTTATAAACCTTTGGTTTGTTTTCTTTTTTCTGGGTGTACTAAGACATTGTGGCAGTACTGATAATTATTGAAGCTTTTCTGTCGCCTAGGCGCTGTTCATTTACATTACAATGGTAAGTTTTGTAATACAGTCTACAGATAACATTAGTCATTTCATTTTCACGTTTCGGAATGAAAACAGCACAGAGTGTTACTATCACTAGTAAGAACGACAAGGAGACAGAACTTGGCTATTTGTGCCCATCAAACATAAATATAAAACGGGAAGAAGCGTCATAAGATAAACGTCATAATATAATTTTTAAATTTCTGAAAAGTCTACAGAAAGCTACTGGGTCCATTGAAATTTGAAGGTTATCTTTTAACTTTTGAAACTGAAAGTTTGATATCAAGGGCTAATTTGGCTCGGTACTTTTACTAGTAGTAGTACTGGTACTACTAGCTATCCAAGTTTCTAACATTCCTATTTCAAACTACATAAATAAACTATTTTCTATATCGAACCTTCGTCTCTAAAGTATATATTCATTCTCTTCCTAAACTCGTTCAATTTTGCAGCATCTACCATTCAACTTTCGAGAACTGGACCTCAAAAGGCAAACTGTTCCTTAGACTAATGATCCTATTGAAAAAATAATACAGCCTGTACTAGTTTTGCCTGAGTTATTCCATATTTTAAACTTGTATCCTGTAGTCATATGACCTGCATAATTATTTTATGAAAACATTATTAGGATTTATGGTTTCTAAGGCTCCAATTATGTTAAAAACATTAGTCATTTCACATAACCCCATGTTTTTTTCAACAAATGCACATTAACGTGACCAAGAGATTTCAATTCAAATATGTAGCTCTTCTCCGAAGTTCCTCCAATAATGTGACATCCTTTCTTAAATAAAGCAATTAAAAAGAACACAACATTCCAGATGAAACTTAACCAGTGTCATATACAGTAAACTGATGACAACCTATGAGTTGTACTAAATATTTTTTCCATACAGCTTAGAATTCTATTTGCGTTGTTACTAATTAATGCTTAAAGGGGCTTGTAGGTTTTATTATAGCCCTTTTTACCCTGTTGTATTCACCTAGTTTCTCAACAAGGTTATAACTAATATAAGAATAATTAATATTGTAAGAATTAATGTGTATAATTTTAATGTTTTATTAAGCCATTTTTAACCTTAATGTTAAAAAGGCATTTTTCAGGTTTTAGTTGAGTTTAAAGCATTTTGAATTAAAATACCCATTAATTCAATATAATCTGTAAACTCAACCAATTCTCAGGTTGTTGCATTATCCATGTTGATAAAAATGAAAAATAATGAAACTTATCATAAATCTCTGAGGTATACTACTTGTAATACCAATCCACTGTGTCTCACACCATTAATAACAATCTACAGCCTGACTAACTCTCAATCTATTGTATTAGCCAAAGCCCTGTCTCAATAGCTACAATATTTGTAAGTCTTGTATTGTAATGTACCTAATCAAAACTTTCTGAAAGCCTAACTATATATTAAAAAAAATTCACTGCATTATCTACATTTAGATCAACATAGCATTTTTCTAAAAAAGGACATTCACAAGACATTAGCTTTTCTAAGTCCATTCTGTTGTTCTCTAATAATATGAAACTTGTTTAAATGCTGTTGTCAATTGTAGATGAGTAATTTCACAACCATGGAAGTAACTGTTTGGTAAGTACTTGGGCATTGTCTAAATTCCCCTCCACAGTCTTTTATTCTAATGCTCAGATAATCCACAGGAAGTGTGTTTGAATCCTTGTGGATAAGGGATACATTTAAGTTAGAATAATAATTTATTATTATTTCATTAGTTTTTTGTGGGTGTGGGATAGCCTGGATGAGTTGAATAGTTTTCTGTCACCTTGTTTTAAGTAATACAGAGAATGGATTATTTGATTGTAACTCCTGGCAACTTCATCAGCTTTAAATTTTAGTTAGCATTTTGCATAGTTACATGCCTACACACATCTACTAATAACACTATATCTTGCATATATCTACTATATCAACAGTGCATTTAATATACTTATTAGGCTTAAACTAATGACTGTGAAGCAATAAATGAGCCATGAAAATAATTTACATTCTAATACATTTAATTTTCTGTTAATTTTTTAGCATAAAGTGTTTTACTGTTTGTTTACTTTTTTCAGTTTTAGATGCATCAGACATCCACTCCAGCTTTTTACTGCTAATGGTATAACTACATGCAAACTTAATTATAAACACAAACTGAAATAAATACATGCTTACTCTTTTTCCATTGAATTACCTATCCAACCAATACTTAAAATGAAAAAATTAAATTAGGAATTTGACCTTTTCTAGTCTTTTTGTGAAGCCATGGGGTAAATCTGCTTGTCACAGTGGAAGAAAAGGTTCTTGTGAAGCTGTGAGGTAGATCCATTGTCACATCAAATGGCTATAAATGTCAAAGCAGATATATTTGCTTGTCACATTGTACAAGTTAAAGTCAACTTGTCCAAGTTCCAAAAATCCATAGCATATTTATTTGCTTTTCAAATATTATAACTAAGTTCATGTGATGAAACACTTTAGGAATGTAACACTTTTTAGTGAAAATAGAAAAGTGCTGGTTGTAACAAACTTAAAAAACTGTTGATGGTCGATTCTTCTGCCTTTGTATAAAAATTATACAGTTGCCTGTCATGTGACTGTATATACTACTGAAATGGTACTTGTTAAGCTGTATATTTTCATTGATAACATTGGCCTTTACCAAAGTTTAAGGAAAATGTGTTAGTTTGAATATGTAAAGACTGAAAGTAATCTAAGTTTTATTAGCAATGAATTTATTTTCTATTGATTGTGTAATTCTTGTACAGAACAATCAGGCACTAGTAAATTATAAAGTTGAAATAATAACCCAAAGGATTTCTACAAAAATTATACATGTATCAGTTCTTTATCCTTGAAGAAAAACCATGATTCATAAACCCCGTAAGGTATAAAGTCACCTTGTTTCAAAATGAAATATTCAAAACTTAGGTCATTCAAATTTTACTATGATTGTATAGGAGTCATTACTGTTAAACTAATTGATATTGCTAGCCTTAAGAATAATGTGAAAGAATAGTTAATTGTAGAAGGTTAAATTGTGCAAAATTTGTAGGGTATATGTAAGGTGAGCTGATAGAGATGAAGTTTTTTTGTTTTGTTTTTTAAGATGCTCATGTTGATTCAGTGAATTTATATTTTTGCTTGTAAGAGGAAAAGATTGAGTTTGATTTGTATAATTACAATTAGAGAGTCTGAGTGAATGAAACAGGTGAGGCAAGGGAGTAGTGTAGAATTAACAGATGGAAAAAAAATTGTAAAAGCTATAATTGTTCTTTTGAGTTAAAGAACAGAAAATGCAAACTTTTTATAATATGCAGGGGAAGAAGGTCTACATGCAAGAGTAAGGAAGTCTACATGTAGAACAAAAAGTTAAGGTAGCAAAAGGTAATTTGATCCATCATGATCATCAACTTCTCTAACTTTTAAAATAAAATTAAATATGTTTATAGCAAAGAAAATTTTATATTGTTATTAACCATATCATTAGCCATTATACCAAAAACATTGTCAAAGAAATTTACATATAGGCTTTTAAAGCTTTCCTTCCATCTCTCAAATACACAACTTGTAAGATAACTAGCAGTTTTGAATACTTGAAACCAGTTAATCTTCCTCTTGTCCATTCTCTTGAGTTTCAAAGAATATACAAGCTCAAAAATATGTCTTATTCCGATAAGGTACTCTTCCTCTGCTTACAAGATTAGCTTTTCTCATTTTGTGCTATCCTCTGTATGGGAACGTTTTCAGAAATGCATGCCATAAGCCTTCATCATCCCTCTGCTTGAATTTAAAGTTCCAATACGTCTCTCATGCAAATCATCATGTGTCACGTCTCTACCAATAGGAGAGCACAACTATCACATGATGCATGTGACTCCCTCTATGCGCCATTACCAAACTATCACTTCTGCTTTGGCAGCTGTCGAGTTCAGATGCTCTTTCTTACATTATTCAGTTACCTTGAAGTGGTTTGATTTTTTTATTTTTCTTAACTTTATTTACAACACTTCACATTGTGGAGTTAATATTTTTATTGAAAATGCAAACTTTTTATAATATGCAGGGGAAGAAGGTCTACATGCAAGAGTAAGGAAGTCTACATGTAGAACAAAGCTTTGCCTCTTTGCCTCTTTTTCCCACTTAGGAATTCCGAAGCTACAGTCACCACTTTGGGTACTTTGCCAGCATCTGATGCTGTATTTTCAGCCATGGGCACAGGAGACGCATTAGGGGATATATTGTCACTCATTTGCAGTATATGAGTATATTGAGCAGTATATGAGTCAACCTCTCTCGCATACTTCTGCCCCACTTTCTCCTGAGCCTTTCAGGCCATACTGACGATTATTTTGATCGTTTGTTTGCTGCACCTTCCCGTTCACTACTTGATCATTGGTCTTTTCAGACTTTATCTCTTGGGTATATGATGTTTTGTCTCTTACACACCTTCCCTCTTACACGAAACAACTTCCCAACCCTATTTAGTCTTTTCCTCATCCCCCGATATTAGGGTTCATATGGACCTTTCAACTGGGGAAGTGCGTTAATATGCCTCATCCCCCACAGACTTTGGATCAGTCCGACCTTGCTTATCATCAGGCGGACTTTCCCTTTCTCAACCAACAGTTGTTGGGGTTGATTCTACATGTTTGGGAAGCAAACCCAGATTACCCTGTCCATCTTACCCAAGCCCAATTTTCTCACCTTTGTCTCACCCTCATGACCCTGTTAAGGTACCTTTCCTCTCTTCACCTTCTGTCAGAGGCTCTTCACAGGAACCCTGAAGGGTTTTCTGCTGAAATCCTCTTCATCCTTACTTCTACATTGGTTTGTCTATTGTCTTTGGCTCTCATGCTTCAAATGTGTTTTGTTTGTTGTTGGGACCGCTTGGGCCATGATGCGGTTTTGGCAAGGGCCCATCTCCAGGCTCCTTATCTGAGAGACCTCTGCACAGTGCCATTTTTGTGGTGTTATGGGTTCATGGGGGTTTTACTTCCAC